CCAGATAAGGCTGTATGGTACGCCAGATAAGGCTGTATATACGCCAGATAAGGCTGTATATACTCCACATAAGGCGGTATATAGGCCGTATATAATCATATAATGTTTGACATGGCCTATATGCCCCAGATGTAAGATTTCCATGCGGGATGAACGTCACAGGACATGCAAAAACGTTAGAACATCCTAAGGACATAACACAATGTTAGAACTTCCTAAGGACATTTAGAGATATAAGTGTGCTACTGGGGATATGATGTCCGCAGAAATAGTTACATCCCAGTCTCTGAAAAAATTTTCATTATTAAAAAAAAGTTTCTTCTAACGTTGTTTTTATATTTATGAGTCTAATTACAAATCTTTCATATAGAGGACACTTATAAAAAAAAAAAGAATACCCAAAGCAAGAAAGAACGTAAACAAAAAAGTAATATAATGCAAGTTTTGGCCAATACAATTTGAGCAAACGTTGATAGAGGGACACATGACTTAACAGGTGTGGTATGAAATCACTCCATGCGGTAATTCCCCGTGCACGCATGGCTTGACTCAATCCCTTTGATGTGTTTGTTTTTCAAGGAGCGTTAAATCGTAGCCTCCTCTATTCTTACAAAGCCTGGCAGATCGCCGAAAGTGAAAAGGTACAGTGGCGGACAACGGATGAGAGGAGAGTCATGTAACGGGCGCCCCGCTGCGGCTAGACGCCGATACACACTTCTCCCGAGCAATGAAATGTCCGCCCATGCTCCTAGCGTTCTTCGTGCTACCGCTTCTTTTTTCGTCTGGTTTGAAAGACATGTTTCGGGTTCTCGCCGCTACAAAATCCGTGCGCTGACGTCCAGGCTCCCCGAGAAATGACTCTTTGATGTTCTGTGCTACCAGATCCTCGCGCTCCAAATCTGCGACCGGGCACTCTATGGCTGCGTTGTTGAACTGCCAGGCTTTGTGAGTATAAAGGAGGCTATGGTTAAATGCGCCAATGCGTGAGGCAAATGTCTCATGCAGCCCCAGGAAGCAAATGGCAGCACACCACTGAAATAAGACATGGCGTCTCGACTGGACGCAAAATGTGCGTGAGGTGGCTTTGGCATGCTTGCGATTGCGCGTGCTTGCTCACACTATACTTCGTTTCACTTTATGTTGTACCGCAGTGAAGGCTAGAAGCGCGAGCTCATAGCATTGGCAGCCGCTCTTAAGTCACGAGAGCTTGTGCCGCCGAGATGTGCCAGAGAGCAAGGAGCTCGCGCTTGTAGCCTTTCCTGCGGTACATCATAAGGTGAAACAGAGTTAGCAGGAACACTGTGGTGTCCCGATGCCTTCTTTGCCATCGTCTATACTCAATCTCACAAATGTCTGCTGTAAAGGCAAAAGTTTCAGGCGCGTGAGCCTAGCTCGGCGGAATGCTTTCGTTTTTACGACAACTCGCGCTTAGGAGCACTTTCCAAGGCCGCGCGCTCGTGCCTCCGCCTTTGTCTGTACTGCCACAGCCTCCTATACACTGACGAAACCTGGCAGATCGCTACGACAAGCAGCCGTCGAAATGGAAAAGGTGGAGCGGCAGACAACCGATGAGAGGAGAGCTACGTGACTGGCGCCCCGCTGCGGCGAGACGCCGAAAAACATGTCTCCCTAGCGAACAAGTGTGCTTTGGGTCCTCGCCGCTGCAAAAGCTTTGCGACAACGTTCAGGTTCCCCGATATAAGGCTCTTTGGTGCTCTGTGATACCAGATCCTCGTGCTCCAAATCTGCAACCGGGCACTCTACGGCTCCGTCGTCGAACTGCCAGGCTTTTCGAGTATACAGGAGCTTATGGCACGGCAGATGCTTGTGAGATCACGGCCGGGCTAAAATGAAAAGGTGCGCTTGCATGCGACCTTCGTAATGGGGTTGGCTTCACTCTGCCACCGCAGCTGCATCGGGTAGCTGCGTTCTCACCCCTCCTACAGTGGGTTAACCCGTTCTAACAAGACACCCTAATCTCCCCGTGTTGCCCTCTTGGCTCCGGTGTTAAACTGGAGGAATTACCAGACTGGTTATAGCTGCAGGCCTTGAGGCCGCCTGCCTGCAGGAGCATACGCAGAATACGTTCTTCTTCGTCATCTCAAAAACAAATTTCCATAAGCAAGCGTCTACATAACGTAAGCCAAAAATATTTCAGTCAGCGCGTTACAGTTATTTCATATGAGTACCGCATTTTTCGTGATATAGTCCGCGGACTATACATGCTTAAAAATTGAAATTTTACCCGATGCGGACTATCTGCGGGTACAGATTATACAAGAATTTGTTGTTTTTTCTAGATAGTTCACTGCACAAGACGTGAAGAATTCTATGAATAACAAAGTATAATAATGTTGATTTACATATGATCCGTGCTTCTTTGTGAGCTAATACAGCAGGCAATTGTCAAGGGTGCACACTAAGCAAAACCTTTCTTTTTGACCCCAAACTTGCCTTAGAGGATTGTGTGCCTGGTGCGGAAATACGGTATCTTGACGCCCTATTTCAATCACAGTGGTCAGGACATTTGTTCAGGGTGGTGCAGGCAGTACTCGGGGGATTAAAGCCCCTCGATGTGTTTGCGTTTTTCTCGCAAGTAGCCTCAAAGGCGCCAGTGCACAAGGACCGTGTCTGGAGCGGCCCTTGGAAGCAAATGATGGCGCAGCACTGAAATGAGCCGCCCTTGGAAGCGAATGGCGGCGGGGCACCCGCTCGTGGCATGTGTCTTGCGCGTTTCCCCAACAATGGTTGGCAGTACTTGTAAGAGTGAATTTCATCGAGGGACTTTAGGAGTGGTAAGAGCGCTGGGTATCCTGGCTTATTCAAGTACCGCCATCGTTTGATCGTGCCGCGGGAGCTCCTATTGGATGCAGGTGACGCGTCGCGATTTTTGGCTCATGGCGCTTCTCATATCCAGACGCGCACGCTCCTATAGGTCTGGTGTGGCTTGCAAGCACGCTCCTATTGGTCTATTGGAGATGCCAGCGCCGCACCGCCGCGACAAACTTGCAGCCGACGCTCCCCCATTTTTGTCTCAAGTGCGTCCCTGCGTGCGTTAGCTTGGCGGTACTTGTTTATAAAATCCATCCAGCGCGTTAGGAGGGGTGGCATTGTCGCTCCCGCATGTGGTAGAAAAAACACTGTTTACGTGTAGGAATGCGAAAACATTCCTCCACGCAGCGCGCCCCGTCTTCCTTTCGCGGCAACAACACGCCCCCCCCCCCCCCCCCCCCCCCCACACACACACACACACTGTGCAAGCGCGGCGAACCTTGCCGGTTTCACGACGACTTCCGTGACAGAGCATCTGTGTTGCTGTGCTTTTATTTGTGTTTTACTTCTGAGGCGCGTCCACTTTGACCTTAAGTGCCCCCGCCGGATACCGTGACAAACCATCTAGGTGGCTGTACTTTTCTTTGTGTTTTATTTCTGAGGCGCGTGCAAGATGACGTAGTTTTATGACCATATATCAGTGACAACGCCGGCGGCTCTTCGCGTAAGGGACAAGTAAGGTTTGCCTTAAAACTTATATTGCTTCTAAATCGACGGCAAAGGCCGTAAGGAATGCCGCAGTCTAGTCCGGCGGATGTGAGATGTAATATAGGAAGCAAATAACGGTGGAGTACTCGCTCGTCAGGCGTGTCTTGCGCGTTCGCAGAACAATAGTTGGCAGTACTTGTAAGTGGTTTTAGGCTTCACAAATGCGATATGTAATCGCTCTGTGCGGTAATTGACTAAGCACACACAGTCAATGATCTCATACTGGCGTTCACACATTGGCGCATTCACGTGTACGCAATTGTCGCGGCGCTAGTCAATATTGGCGACGTTTCGGACAAACTTTCGAACCAAAATTTTTATTGGTTCGGTTTGGCTTTGGGCTCACGGCACTCGGTTCAGTTCCGGTTTAGTTTTAGAATCAAAAACAACGGTTGAAACCGGTTCGAACCGGTTCAAACCGATATGAACCGTTGTTGTTTTTTCTGGTAAGCCACAGGAGTGGCAAAGTAAGTGCCATACTCGAGCCATAAAGGTCAAATTGAAACCTAATTTGGGGATTCCTGATCATGCCAAAGTTTGGCTTCTCGCTGTTCCGCTTGAAGTGCCAAAGTAACTACCATGCTTGCGTCATAACTGGCAAAGTAAATCCTAACTTCAGGATTCGAAGCGTGCCAAACTTTGACTTTTTTTCTTTTTGTCTGGCTACTGGAATGCCAAATATGTGCCACCAAAGAAAGCATAGAGGCCAGTCGAACTTTGGCATTTTTCTGGTGCGCCACAAAACTGCTCTTTCACGCGCTCGAGTAGAAAATTAAATTAAATAATCGTTCGAAGCACTTCATCACTTCCGTTCCAAAACAACACGGCGATACTTGGCAGCGTCATGCCAGTATTGGCGTACCGTCGTCTCGCCACCAGTTATAGTTTTGGCGCAAAATCGTGCGAATAACACGGGCAAACAGTGAAAAGTATTCAAGTGTGCAGGCAAGCTTGTGGTAGCTAATCATGTCGTTTAACAACGGAGACTGTGGTGCAGAAAAGGGGAAAATTCCCTTCTGTGTCTTTTCCTTCGACTAAAAGTGTTTTTTTTTTTTTTTGTTTCCTTTACAGCACCATAGTCAGATCAATGTCAATGCGCTGTACATCTATCTGAAGTTATTGGGGTGCATCATATGGGACAAGGGGTGTAATAATACACCCTTCTTTAGAGTGTATCTGCGCAAACAAAAGGCGTACTAACTATTCAAATCGAGGACAAAAATGACCTTGAATAAATTAAACAGAGATACATCTCCTAGTTGCTGTTCCTATTTGCTTTTCCATGGACCGAAAACGAACGTAATATTCTTTTGAGAAGTGGTGGGAAAGCATAAACGGTACTGTAAACGAGTTCATTTTTTTTTCTCCCCCACGCCAGTGTCTATCTCCAACCTGTACTTATCGGTGCACAGCTTTACGTCTTTGCCCTTACCTAAGAGCAGGCACTCCGCTCTCCCCAGAACGCACCTCCAGCTCCGCGACCGCGGCCTGGTGGCCCTGGACTGGGCCGGCAGCAGCCCGTCCCACCCGGCCGACGCGCCCGAGGACGAGCCCCAGATCATCGTGCTCGTCCTCCCGGACCTTGGTAGGGACTGCAGCAGTGTCGGCGACACGTGCCGGGCCATCCTCGGTCGCGGCATGCGCCCCGTCGTCCTCGGCCAGCGCGGCCACGGCGGCGTACCGCTCACCACGCCCAGACTTCAGTCGTACGGAGACCCCACCGACCTGCGCCAGGCCATCCGCTTTTTGAGGACCCACTACGGCCGCTGCAGAGTCTGCGTTCTCGGCTTTGGGTCCGGGGCGGACCTGCTGCTCGCCTATCTGGGGGACACCGGGTCCTCGTCGGGGCTGCTCGCAGCCGTGGCCGTGTCGCCGCTCTACGAGCCCGAGAAACTGCTACACGACTCGCCGTGGCCTCTGGAGCTGCTGAGGAGGCGCGCCTTGCAGAGAATCGTCGAGGACCACAGCGGGATCTTGGCCAGGTCTGCCGACGTGGATGGTGCTCTGCAGGCCACCTCTTGGAAGGAGCTCGAGCAAAAAGTACATCCCGATTCTCTACATAGTTTTCAGAGTCCCGAAGAGCACATCGTATTTTGTTTTTGTTTGAATGTGTTGCATAGGTCAACGCGCTGTTTACAAACACACTAGATGCGGCCACTGCGTGACCCCAGCCACCGAATTCGCATGAAGCGTCTGCGCATGCGCACTGCCACTAGCAGCGCCACCGCAGTGGCGAGACGTCAGGGCCGCATGTTGGTGTATAGTACATTTTTTATGCAGCGAGTTTGTGCGCAATGTCTTTAATGGTACAAGTTCTGAGGAGTAGTGAGCTCCTAGGGTATAACTTTTTCCCACCACCTCCCCAATTGCTTTGGTGGTAAATAAAAATAATATTATTCTCATTATAATTATTATTATTATTATTACTAGTATTAATATTGGAAAGCGTCGTCTGTTGCATTAAAACGTGGAATTAAGTTTAACCGTAGTCCTTCCTCCATGTCCGTTGTTGTGTCCGTCTACGCACAAATTTTCCCTCTGAACTTTGTGGGAAAATTTAATTGGTTTATAATTATTCGCAATTCAGGTCGCCTCACGTAACGTCATATTATCGCGTGACTCTACGGCGTGGCACCGTGACACCAAGCCACATGACGTGAATAAAACGATATTTTTATTTTACTCGCTGAATCGATTTTTAATGTCCTCTAAAGCAAATAGAAATAATCGTACCCTAAATAGAGCATTCCTTGCATTCCTTGCATTCCTTGCATAAAGGTTTTTGACAATTTGGTTCAGTATTTTATGATTATCAAATCAATTTGTCGCGTTTACAACAGATGTGTTTACAAGTTGCAGGTAAAGTATCCTTACGCATCTCAATGTCTAAGGCATATGCCAAAAGTCGCCTATATATTTGCGCTTCATTGGATACATAATCTTCTTCCGAATCTGCTCAGTGTCATTACACTCATGCACGGGACAACATAGCTGCGCAGAAAGGCTTGTCTCCATTTGCGCATAAAGTACACTTTCAAAACGTACGCGTTCACGCCTGTACCTCTTCCAGAAGTACATATAACTTGTTAGATGGAGTACCACATAAAGAGAAATGAGTATCGTACATGGATTTCGGAATGCTACTTCCTATGGAAAGACTTGAAGTCCACCAGCACAATGAGGATTCAACGTTTTTAGCCGTGAGCACAATGGTATGTTTGTTGCGATAACTGGTTTAACTTACACAGGAATTAGCTACCGGCTCCGATGGTAAAAAAAAAAAATGATGACTCGGAATTCAGAAACTGGTGTGTGCAAAAGCATCTGTATTATTTACAAACATAGAAATAAACATAAAGCATGGAAAGCACAGCGAGCTATATAGAAGTCCTAGTAATGTCAGTCAGAGAGGTTCCGGCTAGAGGGCGCCACACGTTCTTGAGAAACACCGCAGCCTCGAGCCTGCATGTTGATTATCCGTGGCGATTACTCAGAGCAGGCGGCAAATTACATGCAAGGCCTGGTTTCAGCCCCCGCAGGCCTTTCGACGCCCGTTCGGGGTTTAACTTGGTTGAGGCTGGTTCAAGGGCGTCGCGATGCGCTCCTTCTCGGTCCCGGCCTTCGGTCATCTGCCACGAGCGCGTGTCTGCGCGCTCTCGCTTCCAGTGTCTCGTATTCTCCGTCTAAGTCTCGTTCATATCGTCACACCTTTATTCAGATTTGCCTCTTTTAGCCTGAAAATGACACATAACGTCCCTTCCAGGGACAGAATATCCCAACTTATTTACAAAGAACGTGTACCAAAAAAAAAATGTGAAAATAAATACTAAATTACCTAACGGCAACGAAATAAAATTCCAGCGCCTACAAATAAGATGTTTTTTAGTATGAAAAAAATAGGGAAATGTTGATGCTTTTCTACATCGGGGCTGTTAAGGGCTAGTTTCTCCAGTTTCATTTCGGTCACCAAATAAATGTCGACAGAAAACTCTGGATAGCTACCGCTATCTATAAGCGTCGGCGGCAACCAGACAACCGGCTCGCCGGTTGTCTGGTTGCCGCCGTCGCTCATAGATAGCGGCAACCTGTCCAGCCTTTCCGCTCTGGTTTTCACCAAAGTGGAAAAGCTGAATTTCTCTAGACGTTGTCCTCGAGATCGTCCTAGAAATCGGATCGGATAGGGCCGAATAGTGGCCGAAAAGTGGAATGTCGAATTGGATACGAATACCAAAAATGCCATTCGTAACTAAAACTAAAAAGTTGCATAAATGTAATATGCACTGAGCCACAGCCCCAATAACGACGCGACATAATCTGCAGGAAATCGCAAAGCGGCTCGGGAAATTAAAATATGAAAACTTCGCTTCTCTGCGGTGGCCTCAACAAAACGACGGTCAGTCAGGTTGCAGCTCACCATCCATCCGGGTCTGAGAGTTGGGTTTTCCAAACTCCGCCTTCGATTTCAAGACCTGCTCTTTGGAAACCAAACTCCCTTTTGTATTTAGGGACAGCCATTCCTGCTGATAGGCCTACATTTTGATAGCGTTTCTAGATCAGGCGGTTCACTATATTAACTGGCTATATTAACTGTCAAATAAGGTTTCAGGATCAATTTGGTTTACGGAAATAGAAAAGCTTGTGGCATTTCGAATTTTATGCTATGACACCCAAGTACTATTCGGAGGCGCTAATGGCTAGCATCACCCGGATAGGGGGGGGGGGGGGGGGGGGGGGACTTGATATTTCATCATTTTGATGGGTCGGTGTGCAGCACAGTTTGAGAAGCACCGCCATACATGTTTATTCTCCTCCAGGACACACGAAATGAAGTACGGCTAGTGGCGAATAAAAACGGTGTTAAAAAACAAAGATGGGTGTTTTGCGAGCCAGACCTGCTCAAAACATCTGGCACGTCCGAGCGGAGTATTGATAATTCATTTGAACCAACTGGGGATCATTTGACTTGCAACTTTGTTCTCGGCTACACGGCACCTTCTGCGCAATAAGCCTTCGTCAAATAACGGGCATTTTGGATGGGACATAAACGGTCTTATTGACAACACTTAAATCACAAATTTAAGAGAGCTGATGGATGTGTCCAGCATGCTGCGTATCCACGTGCGGATACGCAGCTTGTTGGATGATTGGACGTATCCGGTTGAACTGCCTGAATCAGGTGACCTCTAGCATCACTTGGCCCTGACGCCTCGATTAACGCAGCAGCAAGCAACCTATTATCAGAAGAGGTCGATTGAGCTGTCGCTGTTGTTGGTATTTCGATAATAATGCCTCATAGTATGAATGTAATACCCGAGAATATGTTTGAAATGCACATAGCTGGCTGCATAATGTAAGATAGTTGCACTCAAAACGATGACACCCGTGATATGAGGATTTTTTTTTTCGAGTGCACCCACCAATCAGACATGCTGAGAGCATGTCTGATTGGTTCTAGGAACCCAAGAAATCCAACTACTGTCTGTCAAAAAGGTTCATTATTCGAGGATTCTAAACGCAGGCTTGACTTAGACCCGACATAGGTCTCCGAGGACTACTGCGTCATATAATCGTAATATTAATGTTTGTTTCCATCTAGTGTTGATGGTGGCGGTCATGAAAAAAAAAAAGCAGTAAGACACAGCTTGCCGGGTCCCTGACCGCCTACAGCAGTAGCAACAGAGCGAAGAAATTGAACAGAAAACGAAATAAAATCAAATGTAAGATCGCCATCATAACATGCTGAGCACATACTTTAGATTATTTCATCGTTTACATATGAAGGTATGACGGACAACAAAGGTAAGTTCCTAGTGATAGGAAACTACTATGGACAATCACGAACAAAGAAAAGTGACTACAACTAATTATAATTTTAAGAAAGGTGAACATACGTCTCTTAGCGATAACATAGCACAATCCGTCTTTTTAGCTATATACAGATTGCATAATTTATGAATGACGTGTTTCGGAATTTGCGTGTCATAGTTTGCTCTCGGTGTGACCCCTTCCCAACCTTCAGCTCCGTGGGTAGGGTAATTTTGATTTTGTTGTGTGATGTGTCCAACACGGATTAACAAGATTGTATTTTTAACTTGCTGTACCTTTAGGCTAGTGGTAAGCCAATAATCATAGAAAGAATGGACATTTACGACATGAAAATTCTTGAAAAAGTCAGCTGCGTGAAAATCAAACGGGACATTGCCTATAGCCCTCAATGCTTTCTTTTGCAACGCGTGGAACTTTCTGAGATTCGTAAAAGTCGTTGTGCACCAGACTGAGTTGCAATAATTTAGGTGGGTTTAGAATAGTGAACTGTATAATACTAATTCGACGTTACTTGCTAAAATATAGCGATGGCGATTTAAGGTACCCATGACTTAGAATAGCTTTGAAACAAGGCAGTTTATGTGATTATCCCACAACATATTCTTAGGGAAGGTAACACCATGGAGTTTTAAAAAAATTACCATTTCGATTTTAGTTGAATTTTAAATAAGGCTTTTTGTAATGTTAACACTAAATTATTTTAGGCCTAAAAAGCGAGGCTTTCGTTTTATTCACATTTATTTGTGATTTGTTCTTATGACGCCACATTTCTCGTCTAGACAACGTCAGGTTTGCTCAGTCCATTAACAAATCAGTGCTATCTGCGGAATTGAGTATACTTGTGTCATCGGCATAGTTGATTAATTTTGCGTTTTTATTAACATTTATGATACCATTGACGCATTAATTAAAACAGCAAAGGACACAGAACACTACCCTGTGGTACGCCAGAAAAGAAATAGGTTTTATGCTGGAGGAGTTCCCATCGAGACTGACATATTGCATTCGATGCCCCAGATACGACCGTATGAGCTGTAGAGCGTGCCCTCGAAATACATGCTGATCTACAGGGTGTCCCAAAAGAAAATTTACAGGGTTTTTTTCATCGCAAAAATAAACTAGGCATCGCCGAACGCTCATCCTCCGCCCAGAGGTAGCGCTAGAGGTCACAACCAGATGCCAAAGATTGAGCTCGATCCAATACCTTAATCAAAAATTATAAGTGATTTTCTGAAAATTACAATGGGAAAATGGAGCCCATTTTTGGCCATTTTCGGTTTCTGGTGCCATAGAGCCCCATGTATTCGAAAATTCCGTCGGCCGCCATTTTCCACTTCAAAGTTTCAAAAACATATCTTATAACTTATGATTGAGGTATCTGATCGGGCTGAAACTTTGGCATCTGGTTGTGACCTCTAGCGCTACCTTTGGGCGGGGAATAAGCGTTCGGGGATGCCCAGTTTATTTTTGCGGTAAAAAAAAAACTGTAAATCTTTTTGTGACGCCCTGTAGTTTCGTAAGCAGAATCTTCTGATAGAGACAATCGAATGCCTTTAGTAAAATATACAAATACTCCAAAAACTGTCTCTTTTTCTTCTTTCGGAGTTTTGCAAAATAAGTTCTTTTTGAACAAGTAAGCACTGATTCAGTAGATTTATTCTTTTGACCCCTACTGTGATCTGGTTATTTCGTCACACATATTAGAAAAGTTGATTATTTGGGTGTCAAAGAGTTTTTTCTATTGCCTAAAAAAAACACTTATAATATTGAACTTGACCTCTAAATTTACATTTAGTTTACGCTTTCTTTTTTATGTGATACTAAAACTTTGACAATCTACATTCGCTTAGGAGATGCTCTTGTAGCTATAGAAACATTTAATATAGTCATCACAGGTGCTATCAGATGAATAACTTGCTTTACAGGTCTTACTTTGATGTCATCTGTGTCACAACTGACTCCATTTTTAAGCTCAAAAATGCATTCATTGCCTCTTGTTCGGCAACTGGTTCTAAAAATATCGAGTCACTGTCTCTTTCAGTGCTAAAACCCGAAGAAATGTTTGTTTGAGTTGTATTTGAGATATTTGCAAAATGTTCGTGTAAAAGAATTTGCCAATAAGCACCAAGTAAATTCAGTCTCGTTACATATAATTTTTATTCAACAGAACCGGGTAGACGATTACGATTAATAAGAGAGTTTAGTTGTTTCCACATGATGTCGGCACGTCCCTGTGCAGCTTTGAACATACCAAAATGATAACGGCCTGATACGCCGTACCTCTTTTTTTTACGTTGTTGCGATAGTTCGTGATAATTCTAAGACCTTCCTGGTCTTTCGAATTTGTGAATTGACCATATAAGACCTTTTTGTGTTAAATTTACGCAGTAGATATGCAGTTATCCAGGGTTTTCTTATTCGTTTGTTTGTTTTCATAAATATGAAAGGGAAGCATGTCCTGTACAAGCTAATAAATAGCTCAATAAAAGTGTTGTACGCTCATTGCCCCTAAGTACACACAGTAAACTGTCTCAGTTTGTGTTTGAAACAACGATTTGGAAAGAATCAACTCCATCTAGTTTTAGTTTTTTTAATCGCTATCCGTTTCGTTTTGGAAGTCTTCCTCGGGATGCTTTTGAGATAAGTAAATATCGGGAGGTCGTCACTCTCATCGCAACCGATGACACCAGCATTTATATAATCAACCGAGGTATTCGAAATGAAGACATCTATTGAAGTTTCAGGTTTTAAAAAATACGACTCTATTTATAACATTTCTATAACCATATGTACTGGTTAGCGTGTTGTCTAAAGTCCTTTTAACAGCGGTGGCAGCACACAAATCTATATTAAAATCTCCACCACATTGGAGATTTTCTCACTTTTCTTTGTTAACAAAAACAAAATAAAAATAATAAAAATTTTTAAGAAATTTTTAAAGGTGCCGTTTAGTGGTCTGTAAGCAGCTACAAATATATTTTTGTGACATCGTACGCACAACATTTTAAAATGCTGAGCGGTAACACAAGAATCACTTTCTAAATTATAAAGAACTTGTTTTGCAGTATTGCTAAACCACCACCGCCTTTTTGAGTTTGATTTATATAAAAGGAACGGTATGAAGGCAGTCTTAGTACATCGGTCTCTTCTGTGTACCTTGTTTCTGCGAGCATTATTACTTCAAAATTAAAATTAAATTGTTCAAAGAGCCGCTCAAGTTCGACAGCTTAATTTTTTTGCCGACCGGACATCTAAATGAAAGCATGTCATGCACGATACATAATCCGCACCAAGCTGACTTATCAAGTTTTATGGTAAAACGAGTGCATTCATTGCCATTAAAAAAAAGAAAAGAAAAACGAAACCAGTTTAATTCCAGGTACTTCTTAATTAATCTTTTCCAGTTCGCCCACGTGCTCAATTCAAATTGACGGCTCGCGTTTTTGCTTCCTTGCCTATGAACATCCTTCTTTATGCCAAGCAAACCTGTAGCCGAGGAGTTTGGCCTTCGTTCTTACTCCGTTGAGCAACTGTCTCTTAAACGCCGTTATATCCTCTTGCAGATACATATTGTTATCATTTGCTCTTGACATCAACTTATGCTTGTTTTGCACCCAAGCATTTCGATCCTTTCGGTTCACAAATCGCACAATCCCTCTAGGCGATTATTTTGCTTTGATTGGCTCACGGTGCGCTGCTTTTACGCTATTTTTCGTCAGACATGGAACTTTGATCTGGACAGCGATTTTGTTTAATTTTTACAGCAGATTTTCATTCGAGATTTCTGGAAGATCGTGCACTTCGACATCATTTTTTTCGTTCATATTGATTCATCTCCTTTTGTTAGTTCTTCAGCTGGGTAGTTTCGTCAGTCTTTTGCTCTTATAATTTATTCACCTTTTTTTCTTAGCCTTTAGTCTCGTTGTCATTAAATGACTGGCACGTTCCACGATGTCAGTTGATCCACCACTGTACGGTGGTTCCGACCTTGTAATAATCAGCACATCACTTTTGATAGGGGTCTATTGCGAACATGTTCGTTATTCGGGTCAACAGCTGCTGCACATCTTGTGTCACTTCTTTAGTTTTCTCATGTACGGGAGTGCTGTACATTTTCGTCCTAGTACCTAAACACGTTTGGCATTTCCAGGTTTCTTGAACACCAGCTTTTTCCCCGGGAGCGACGTTTAGGTCAAGCCCGCGCAGGCACAAAGGTGATAGACGAAGTGACATTTGCAACATTGCAAAACAGCGCCATCATCGTCTGTGGTTTTTCCTCAATGCCGGCACAGATGATCAGCATCCTCACTGGTTGACATCACAAATGGCACTCTTTGGCAGCACTCAGCGACAGGGATCCCAAGTGTCTAATTAAAAGCGGCGCTTTTGGGGGGGGGGGGGGGGGGTTTGGATATTTATACAGCGTGTAGTTGGTCAGCCATTTCAAAGTTCCGACGAGTCACTCGCTAAAGATGAGCAATTTATTTAGCCAGTGCAGTACAACCGCTAGCCTGGTGTCCTTAACGTGCACCACGCAGTAGTGATACGCGACCGTACGCCGGCACGATGCTCATCCAGATAGAAACGAGCAGGGGTGTGAATGGAGCCTAGGATCCCTGGGTTTCGCAGCACGAGCTTTCGCTCCACGTGCTCCGAGCTGGTGTGCTCTAGCTTACTCGGCCACCAATCCCTCTAAAAAAATGCGCTTTTAGTTAGACGAGCAGCGTTCCTAGAACGCTGTTCGTCAAATGAACAGCGTTTATAACTAAGCCAGAAATTTAGCCAGCAGCACTGATATTTGATATTTAAATTTATTCCAAAAATGAAACTCTATAAATTAAAAAGTTGAATAGAATTATTCCGGCAATTACACCGGACTAAAATCTTTTAATTTGAAGCTTCACTAGGTCCGGAGACGAGACGCGCATTTTGTTCAGCGCCCCTTATATCGGCGGCAGGTGCTGTGGCCCGCGTGCGGCGTGGTGACGTCCCACCAGTACTGGGAGAGGAACGCTCCGCTCCGAGACGCCGACGACATGGCGACGCCGTTGCTCTGCATCTCCAGCTCCGACGACCCCGTGGTACCCACCTGGGCCCTTCCCATGGACGTGTTCCAGGTGCGTGCTCTACCGCCTTTGATCCACCTAAAAGACAAGGCCTTCCCCCGAAGGCTATCATCCACGCAGCGCGGCCTAGCTCGCGTCGCCGCGTCCTGCGGCGTCTCCCAACGATCGCGACGCAAGCACGCAGGGACGCCAAGACATCTGCCGCTTATAGCAGACAAGTCGTCACGCGCACGCCCTGTCTACTATAATATAACTCTTTAATTTCTTCGTGGCCCGGGACAACCTCTCAGTTTTGATGTGGTAGCACAATATAAGGGATACAATTCGTATAGTTTCACATTCGATAGAAAATGGAAAAGGTCCGACTCATCGGGGGACAGTCATCAATAAAACGGTCAAATCTAGTTTAGGGTTAATAAGTTAACGTGTCTTAGAAAATTAAAGACAAAAAAAAAAAACAATTCAAGAAGAAATTTTCTCGAACATATGCTCTCCCAAAAAAAGAAAAGAAAATTGTTTTTATCAACTAAAGCGCCTTAAACATAGAGTTCAAGTTGTTTTGCACTCTTCAGAGAGTTCATTTCATCAAAAAGGTCAAAAGATAGGGACTCTAAATTGTTAATTGAGAGTTGCGGGCGAATTAGTGATGACATTTTCCTCGAACGGAATGATAAAATAGACAGGGGTGTCTACAAAACCGAGAATGTGCATGAAAATATACAGAGGCAGGTCAGCGTCGGGGTCACCATCAACGACTTTGTGAAGAAACAGAATATCACGGGTGAGTCGGCGACTGGAAAGATTTAGTAAGTGAAGACTTTTGAGTAGGTGCTCGTAATCATAATAAAATCTTCAGTTGAATTACGTATAATATATAATACGATAAAAACGTTTCTGTACAGTTGCAATTCACGACTCATCAAAAACCGTTTAGGAGTTCCCTGCTACAATACCGGACTCAAGATTTGTTCTTAGAAAGTAGGAAAATAGACGTACAATGCAAAAAATATTCATAAAGTCACATTACAAACGAGAAAGGAAACCAAGCGTTCGTACAAAACAGGTAACAATTCAGTGCAAAACTCAAACCGTGAGAGAGAAGATGTGCAAAGAGAAGGGGAAAGGAAAACAAGCGACGTTTCGGGCGGACGCCCTTTTGTAAGACTAGGCCAGAAAAGAAAGCCTGGTGTCGAAATAGATCTCGAGGTAACGAATCATGGTGACAAGTGTGATAGTGGCGGACTCAAAAACAGAAAGGTAAAATAAACTCTCGCGTTTCTGTGACATTGTCAGTAGTTTTGTTTTGTCTGAATTAAGCATCAAGAAATAAGGTAAATACCGCTCAGAAACACGATCAATATCCTCTTATAAGGACTGCAATCACGAAACGATCGTATATTTCTAAAACTCTTGATGTCTTCAGCAAACGTTAACAAACGTGAATTGTTTGTGCTCACTTCAAGATCGTTTACGAATAGTCTGAATAGGAGGAGACCTAGGTTAGGTCCTTGGGGTACCCCAGATGTGGGTATGAATTTCATGATAGCCGCTCGATATCCTAACGCTACTTCGACGATAACTCAAGTAGGTATGAAACCAACTCAGAAAATTATGTGAGAAACTGTATAAGGATAACTTTTATAGTAGAAATTGTGATTTAATTTATCACAGGCCTTAGTCATATCAAAATACACTATATCTACATGATCTCGAAAAAGACCACTAGAAGCTGAATAATCAAGAAATGAACGAAAATTTGTTTCCACCAAACGGCCCTTCAAAAACCAATTATGAACATATATATATATATATATATGTCGAAAGTACTAGGAAACACGCTTGTGTATGATTATATCGAATTCGTTTCAGAACGCACATGACATATATTGGTCGATAGTTTTACAAGTGTCGCCGTTTTTGTGCACCGGTATGACAATTGATATTTTCCATAGTGATGAAAAAACACCGGAATTTAAGCAAAGGTTAATAATGTGACATAATGCAGGAGCGAACACATTGCCACTCCCCTTGACAATACAGTTTAGTATCATATCTATTCCTACTGATAACTTTGCCTTAACCTTTGTGATTGCGTCTATAGAGCCACATTCGTATCAATATGACTGATAGTCTGTGAGTCCTGGAAAGAAACATTGTTAAATTTTGCACTATACGTAAACGCATGTGTTAAATATCATCCACAAAGAATGATATTTAAAAAAAGATTCGCAACTTCGAAAGATCATCATACATAACCAGTGTCACTACGTGTACATATATTGTGGTTTTTTTTTTTTTCATTGTATGCTGCCTGACTTATTTCCGAACCCTTTCTGGTTTTCGGTTAAAAGAACTTTCAATTTTCGCTTTGTTGACCGATTTGTCGTGTTTCTATATTTTCTTACAATTCACTCACTTGCAAGAAAATGATAGTCAGTATAGTCACTGACAAGGTGAGAAGGGGACGGAGGGGCTTCAGTTGCCTCGCCTACAGTGCGAGCTTCCTAGCTTCGACAACGCTCCGGGATCTCGTGCACCTCACGCTCGCGCGCGTGCAGCCAAAGCACAGCGGAAGGTATGGACATAGCCTCCCCTATACTCACAAAGCCTGGCAGTTCGACGACGGAGCCATGGAGAGCCCGGTCGCAGATTTGGAGTTCGGGGATCTGGCAGCACAGAGGATTTCTCGAAGAGCCTGTAGTCAGCCCACGGCTTTTGCAGCGGCGAGGACCCGAAACACACTTGTTCGCTCGGGAGAAATGTGTTTCGGCGTCTCGCCGCAGCGGGGCGCCAGTCATGTGGCTCTCCTCTCATCCGCTGTCTGCTGCTCCACCTTTTCTATTTCTGCGGTTGCTTCTCGTGGCGATCTGCCAGGCTTTGTCAGTACATAGGAGGCTATGATATGTAGCGCGTGACGGAGGCCGGGCGTTTCAAAGACACGCCCTATCGTTCTTACTCTGTAAATGACTAGAGTAGGTTGTATTCGTCTGACGTGAGGCCCATCGTGAGGGCCGAACTTTTAAGTCAAGGTCTTGTCGTCCCAAACCTCGATGAAAAATAACTCCAGTTTGGCGTTGCGGCACTCTTGGCAAGGAAGAGTTATGTGCTGATTACTAAGATTGTTTACTAATTGATGAACCGATTAGTCGGCTAATGCATTACCAACGACTAACCCCCCTCTCCCCCCCCCCCCCCCCCCCCGGCCCGCCTCTTGCCTGAGATCCCAGAAAAAACTGGACACATTTCTGTGATTGTCATGGTCATTACCTTCGTCTCGCTGCCGAACACAACAAAATTAACTAATCCACTGGCGAACATTTTGCTCGCGCCAGACGCCATGTTGTCAGTGAAACAACAGTTAGCATTTTCATACATAACTATGCACAAATACTTAGGAAGCCCCTAGGACCTTCTAGCGTGAACGACTTCTTGGAGGGGAACATTCCTTCTTATGGGGGTTGTATTCTCTTTTCTAAGTTGCTACTCTTTCGGTAAAGGGAATGAATATCAATAAAGCACCGCGTTGCGTCTTTTTGTTTTTTCAATATCTCGTATTTAAGTCAAATAAACTATTTTTAGGTAAAGAACCTATATTTAAAGCTTCTTGGCGCATTAAATCTGGGACTATGATCCTCCGGTGCTTCGGTGCTGACTACGCCATCATGCGATAACATTTCGACATTTCTCCCATGGAGGCCATATTCCACCGATTAAATTGAAACAAATCTCGTGCTCTCACTCAGTCCTTAGTCGTATCAGAAGACGTCCACCTTGGTTCCCTGTCCCCAGCCGAACTCTGTTCTCTCTATGCTGGCGTCTGATTGTCTGACGAGCACGCTGAACCCCGGTGGGCCGCCGATTGTGTTCGGCGATGGCCTCCTCAGTCCCTCCTTTTAGTATTTCTTTTTAGTTTTTTTTTTTTTTTTTTGCAAAGCATTGTGAATTTATTCATAGCTCTTTCAGGAAGCGCATGTCGTTTATCATAGGATAGATAAATTATTTATGGTATGAGCTATACTCTTTGTATCGGACGGTAGGTTGCGCCACCTACCCTAGAGATATTTACATCCCTGCCGTCTAAGCTTTTCTATGAATTCTGCTTTTCGTTAAAAAATCATGCCCAACAATGTTGTGTATTTTCATGCATCGCTCGACCTTCTCTAATCGTTTAAGCACCTACGAAAATGCAGGTCGTGACCACTTACCCTCTTGCTTTCTGGTTGGCTGTTCTGAGCCATAATGAGATGTCAGCCACTCCTGGCCTTTCTTAAGGGGACGATCAAGTGATTTTTTTAACTTCTCCCTCCTTAGCTCTAACCCTTGAGTAAAAAACAAAATGAGAATTAACGTAATCGTGACGTGCTTGGACACTGAATGCGGTGGCTCCAAGCTTCCAGCATGTTTTCTAAGCACACCATGGAACTTGTCATTCGCAAGGGATAAGTGCAGCCACGGCACTCATTGGCCACGAAAGCGAATCCAAATATTCGTCGACAGATAGATGTTTGACGCTTGGATGGAACAGCGCGGATGAACAGTCACACTCACTGGCACACAATAAGGAAACTAGAGTGCCTTCATACACACGCGCGCTTTTGCTTGAGTGGTGACATCTCAGCCATTTTTCCGCCCAATCGTTTTTTTATGCATTTTTGAAGTGCGCGCAATCCGGTGTCACTCAGCTCGAGCGCGTAGCTTTGGCTGATGCATAGACGCCATCTTACCGCCCAAGTCACGCACCGAGTGCGCGAGAGCGTCACGCGCTGGCACATTCCGGACAACAATGGATGTCTTCACCCTGAGACAGACAGACATCTAGGCACCCTAAAGGAAACAGACTCGCAGCGCTGACTAACGGCCTCCCAGTCCTATATTTCTTCTTCCTCAAATCTTCAACTTGTTCTCCTTCGCCGCTAAGGAGAACATTTTAAATTTTTACACACCAGAGACCAAATAGTCAGTAAACATTAATAAATAACTAATAAAGAAATAAAAGACAACTAAAGAAATAATATTTAAAAAAAAATAAAGTTAAACTGAAAATTAAATTT